GTGAAAAACCCGGTGAAATTTGCAAGCGTCAATAGAGGCTTTGCTCCTGTGATTGCCGAGAACAAGGGGATGGTAGAGGTGTCTGTATTTCTTAGTAGACTGGCCGAATGAAAATTCGTTTAGGTATTGTAACTGCTCTTTGTGCCGTTTGTGAATATGGCCTACACTGTTAATGTTACATTGCATTGAAATGCCTCGGTCTCACCACGATATTTTTAAATGTACCTACTGTGAGCTAGTCTATGTTGCGGGAAAACATTTAAACTCATTTGCATTGCCCATTGCTACTTTTATTCGAGTATCGTGAAAGTACGGTACTATATATGGCAACAGAAATATTCGATAATCAATGCATACACACCCGAGCATAATTTTTTGCTAGTCTGTAGTTGCGGTATTTACCTATCTAAATATACACTGTATTTTAGATATGTTCGTGGTAGAGTAACGTACCCCTAGTCCAGTTGTAGCCGATTTGTTGTTAGCATGATTCGACGTTGCATAATAAATTATAGCTTGCTTTTTAGCTCATCTGACGTAGTCAGGTGCAGCTTGTAGAATCGCATGATCGTCCGTCCATCCGGCCGTCCGTGCGTCCGTCAACAGTTGGGCACAAATCTAAACGGCTCGAGGTACGGATTCGAAAGTCGGGACGTAGGGGGTAATCCGAAAACGAGTTGGGATGTCGAAGCTGGGGGTCAAAGGTCAAAGGTCAATAGGTGTAAACGAAGGGGGAACATTCCCTCCTTAACTTAAGGTATAGGGAGGAAATGCAGAATTGCGGCACAAATCTAAATTGATCGACCTAGGCTTGTGATAGTCGGTGTATAGCATCATGGTAAGAAAAGCCACCACTGTGCCGAAATTGGAGGTCACAGGTCAAAGGTCAATGGGGCACAGGGCAGATTTTAGACATTTTCTGAGGGTATGGTCTGACGGAGCGATTGGAAAACTTTTTTGTTTCAGCGGTGACCTACCATTTTTATGGCTTTATTGAAAGGACCATAAAATGTACTTTCCGCTGACATACGAAGAGTAAGTGTCGGATAACCTTTTGACCCTCAAGAATCTGTTGACTGTTAACAAAGGACTGAACTGCTTTTGCTATTGTGGATGTGAGGCTACAGTTGCACAGTTCAATTGCAAGGCAAATGTTTGTTGAACAAGGTTTACGCTCCTTAAATCATATTATTTTCTAAAGCAGTCTGTATTAGCACCCTGAGTAGCACCCTGTATTAACACACTGTAATGAACCCTGAATGCTCGTGTGGGTAGGCAAAAACATGGGGGCAGCCCATTACGCATGCATGGGGGCAGCCCATTACGCATGCATGGGGGTGAACTGGCACTATTCTAATCATAATTATTGCCTGGCAACCTGCAATGCAGATGTGTTAACTCACAGCTGAGCGAAATTCTCGCCTGCCTGAATATACTTGGATTTCAGCAACTTAATGGAGTGAGGTTATCACGCACGAAGGTTGATGCCATCTTTGATTATTGATGACACTTGCACGCGCCATCTCGCGGCAACTGCTTTTGCTATTAGAGCCCCCTCCCCCCACTCTCCCCCCACTACTACCACTACGCTCGCGCTCGACTCATATCCATGATAACATGTTAATAGAGCGAAGTCAATAAAGTTACACAGCTGTATCTTTATTACTGTACTACCGGTATAGCAAAGCCTATAGCTATCATAGATTTTAGATCTGTATTAGTAGTATCCTAGATATATGCTCTGAGCGCGAACGCGGTGGCGGGAGGGCGCACTTGATTCGGTTGCCAGTGAGTTTATCAGAAGAATACCCGGCTACAGTACACGTCAGTTGAGCGCCGTCGCTCTGCGGCACTTGTTATAATCTGTTATGACTGCCAAATATGTGCGTGGGGTAAACGCTACTAGTGCTCATACACGCATTGGGTATTTGTGCATTTGTGTGGGTTTACCATTGTCACTTATACAGTTATTTGGTATAATCTTTGTCGTGTGATGTGCATACTGCCTCGCCATGCTTTTATCATAAAATGCACAATGGTTGTGGTTATCTGCTGCACTATATATCATTGTTCAACTTTGCTTCACATTTTTAGCTTGTTGAAAATATTTTGTGTTGTTATAGTGTTACAACCGTGCTCACAATAAGTATATTTAAACAGGGTTGTGCCACTTATTAATGCTGAAGGGGTCGTTGTCGTATAGGCGTACCCGAGGTACATATATCTACGCCTACTCCCGCTCATATGGTCTATGTCCCCCAGGGTACTGCCGGAACATACCCTGGGTACGGTCCGGTATACCGGAACGTACCCTGGTCACTATTTATATGGTTAGGGTTAGGATTAGGGTTAGGGATAGGGTTAGGGTTAAGGTTAGGGAGTAGGCGTAGGCGACTCCCTAGACTCGTTAGTGGAGTCGGTGAGGTACGGTCCGGCATATTAGATAGTACCAGGGTACCTTCCGGCAGTACCCCGGGGGACATAGACACTCTCAACATAGACCCAATCTTATTCTTTTATAGTTAGTCACGTCCATTTCCCCCAGCAGTGCCCTTATGTGTGCACGTTGTAGTATCATGCCATAGTGTTTCATTGCATAGATATGGGCCTATGTTCGTATAAATTGCTAGTATCCTTTTTTTCTACAATCATGTCTGTTGTGATATTGCTTATGTATGCCAATGCAAGACGTACGCATTGTTGTAAAAAGTAACCCTGTGAAGATGTAATGAATATGAAGATTGCTACATTAAAACCGGTTTGTATAATTATTAGTTGCGCAATGTGTGCTGGTAGATATTATTAGCTTGTTGGTAGATATCGAGCTAATAAATAATATAATAAGGAGCTAACAGCAAAATAAAAAAGTGTTAAGTAGAGAATATGTGGTGCATTGTGCTTTAACATGGCTGTGATGGGCACATGAACAGAGCTTTACGAATGGACGAACTGCCACTAGGAAAAGACATAGCAGATATTTTTCATTTGAAGCATACCATGATTTTTGCATTGTTTTAAGTCAAGTTATGGTATTTAATGCTACATGGTAATTGTCATTGTTCATTATCAATATATCAGGAGTGAATAATAATAGATTATGATTATTAAACTATTATTATTCACTCCTGAATATATGTAAATGCGTGCGTGTGTGTACACGCAGGCGGGTTGCTGTTTCAAAAGTACTGCAGTTTATTATTACAGATGGTGCCATTGCCTGATCATATCGCAGTAATGATGCAAGTGGGGTGTTTGAATTTTCTTATTTTTTGCGTCAGGGTTGGACATGTCATTCTGCTATTAGTTTTGTCTTCACATATCAAGATATCGTGGTCTCTATGAATATAAATAGAGCACTGCTGTTACCGATGAAATTGGAAATAAAAACCAAATTATTGGATTTTAATCATTTTAAAATCTTTTGGTTCTAATGTCTTCAGTCTTAAAGATGAAACTCAATCGCTTTATTTGATGGTGTACTACTTTGCTTTGTAAATAATCTTCTACCAATTACAGTAAACACATCAATATATGCATATATGATGTGCGTATATACGTTATGGATGTATATCAATTAGGATATCCTACCGTTGAGCGCGAAAGCATGTATGGGGATATATTTCCATGTGATTTTTCACGTGCCAAGTGCACAGGCACAAATACCATATATATAATACCACCATAAAATCACGCATGAATAACAAACTTAGTTTTTTATTTGCAATGTTCACTTTTATTCACGCAGCCTGTGCAGTTGTCAATTGATATCAACTGAATATTCCATTTAGTTCACTTATGCACGCACGCTTATGCATAACATGGCACCACATATATAATGGGAGATATTATGCATACCCTGACACCCATTTGCTACCCTGTTCTGGAATTAAAGCAACGTCGCCCAAGGTAATCTAAAACATTTCCTTTACATATAGTGCACACAAATTGCATAACATTTCTGTTATCATTATTCCTCAAACACATATTTTTACCCAATGACATTGGTAATTAGCAATATTATAAAATTATAAGATTATAAAAGCACTATAGACCCTAGAAATGCGTAATACACTAGGGCCCGAACTTGCAAAAGCTTGCAAAATGCGACTAATTTCATCTAATCTTTTTATTCCGCAATATAGTTTAGGCAAGAATACATGTCACTTCAACTTACTGATTTCAAAATTATGACTACATTGACCTGACATGCATAAATGCATTATTTAGCAGTCAATTAGATATACAATCAGTGTTAATTGGGCTCAGACTGGTTCACCTCAACTTATTGAAATTTGTCCTATTTTACCCACGATTCCAACAATGGCAGGTATATTACACTACAGTAACTACATATAGCAGTGGTTCTTAACCTTTTTTGAGTCATGGACCCCTTTGAGAATCTGGTGAAAGCTACGGACCCCTCCCCAGAGAAATGCACATAAGTGCACAAACACAAAATTTTTCATGCGCCTGATTCACGGACATCCTGAAGCCTATCCGCGTACCCCAAAGGAGTCCATGGACCATAGGTTAAGAACCCCTGACATATAGCTTAAACGTTCAACTAAAACCGGGAACATGTATAGACTCAAAACATATAGATAGTTTCCCATTTTCGAATTGTTTTTTTTATGGCTTCCAACATTCGAACACAATTCTTGAACTAGACAATTGCAATGAAACATGCACAGCGTTCATACCATCAACAGGGCAGGGCCATCGACAGGTCGACGCGGTCAGACTGATGACAATTAACGCCCTCTATATGTACGTACACACACTACGTATACACACAGCTGATCAACTAACTGTATTTTCGAATCTACCACAAAGGTAATATGTATATATATAATATAATATATATATATATATATATACACACACGTATATATATATATTTATATATGTATACGCACGCATGCACTCACGAGTGCGCATGCGTGTGCGTGTGCGTGTGTGTGTGTGTGTGTGTGTGTGTGCGCGTGCGTACGTAGGTGTGTGTACGCGCGTGCGTACGTGTGTGTGTGTGTGTGCGCGCATACGTACGTGGGTGTGTGTACGCACGTGCGTGTACGGTTGACGAAAGTCACATGCAGTCCCACGCAATCATCCGACATGCTGACGTTAGGATTCACTTGCTTACAAACTTAATCGACGTACGTACACCCTCATCACAGTAGCTGACACCAACTGCAAAGCAATACTATCACACATCAGGGACCCGTTGCCAGAAACACAAAGTTAGTCTTAACATTAGTCTTAACATTAACTTTTTCTCATAGACTGTTGCCAGAAACACGGTTAAGTTACGGGTTTCTCATACGGAGCGTACGCGGGTCCGGTCTACGAGGAAACGTCAATCTTAAGATTAATGTTAAGACTAATTTTGTTTCTGACAACGGGCTCCAGTACTGTATAACTACGGTACCGTTTCACTCCACCTCTGAGAAAACGAACGAGATGTAAGTGCTGAGCGTTTTAACGGGAGGACGACATGTAAGTCTTGTATATGCACGCTGCACCAACAGTGACGAGCAACGGAATCACAAAGGTCGTCCAGTTTCTGAAATAAACGGCAATTTATGCAGTTCGTGCATTAGGAGCAAGAAGATGTCAAGCGAATGTTTTGAGGAAGGAATCACAGGTCTTTTCCTAACAGTCCCTAGGTTCAGTAGCGTAGCTAGGATTTTTTCAGCGGGGGGGGGGCACTGGGGGGGCCTTACATTTTCGTGGGGGGGGGGCACAATATATAACCTTTCTTTGTATTATACTGTTCTAACAGCATTGTTTTTAATTCAATTTTTTTTTATCAAGCATGAATTTTCAGTGGGGGGGGGGCACCTGGGGGGCACAGAAAATTTGTGCCCCCCGTAGCTACGCCTCTGTCTAGGTTTAAGTATAATGAACACCAATCAGATTCTAAGCAACTAGTTTGAGGAAGGAATTGCAAGTCTTTTCCTAACAGTCCCTAGTTTTAAGTATAACGAACACCAAGATGTTAAGCAAACATATGGAGGAAGGAATCGTGAATTTTTTCCTAGGAGTCCCTAGCAGTTTTAAGTATAGATTAAAGTAGTTTCCATGCTAGTGATAAAAAAAGGTATCAGAATCCTAGGAACCGGTAATAAAATTATATTGTGGGCGATTGCAGCACTCAAACAGCAGTGATTCCACTGATCATAGAATGCTTACCTATGAAAACAAAATTTCACATTCCAAGCGACCTTTGATGAAATTCTAGAGCTCCTAATTATTTTTTACCCATCTTGGGCAACTGGGTGAGTGTTAATTTTCATCACTGCTGTATAAGTAGATATGTTCATGACAATACTTCCAAGTTCCACTTCTCCAAGCTTATAATAGCCTTCTCACTACATTCCCAATATAGGTTCCCAATAGCAGGTGCTCTAGCTAGAATGACTGGATTACTACTTATCTCAAGCACTGCTACTGTATAGAATATATTTATAGACAACAAAGTTAGAGCGCTCTGGTAACAGGTTTGGTTTTCTATTTCCAAAAATAGACGTGTTATTGTGGAAAAAACTGTGGGGCAAGTACACTATTCAGGTACGCATTCAACACTCTTGGCAAATTTTCAACGAATTATACTAGTCCAAAAGAAGGTGAAGAAAATTTATGCAACTCTGTAATTTTACGAAATTTTAGGAATTTAGATGGCTCTATTTCAAAGTATGAACCGTGTCTGAAAACGGCCCATATCTATCAGGAGTAAATAATCACACACAAAAAACACAATTTGTGATTATTAATTACTTCTGATATTTATCTATATATTGTGTCTGTGATCAATTAGTGTACTACTCACGATTGTTTTGCTTCAGGCGTTTCATTGTAGTTCGGTGTTTTCTGAAAACAGACAGAAATATATAGAGCACTAGTTAGGCAGGTCATCAGGTACATGCAAGTATTGCTCATGGCATCATTGTTGCCCTCAATCACCTCCCTAATTAGAAACACGCTAAACATGTTCATTACTGATGACACGGAGACAGGAAGAGCATATCACTACTATATATTCAAACTGTTCTTTCTTGTTTGGGGGAGGAGATAACGTCAGCATGAGCAACCACTAAATCGCCACACAGTCACAAACATCAAACTAGAAAGAAGGTTCTCATAGAGTGCGAATCCTCCGCATACGCGATCACTACACCTGTGATATTTTGTAGGCTGAGGTTGCTACTTGTAATGGATGACGTTGACCTTGGTAAAATATCACTCAAAATGAATACTTGTCAAGGATTAACACAGTTGGTAATCTGCAGTAGATTATTCACAAACGTGAAAATACTGAGTGCAGAGCCCTCGATTATCCTACGATCACCGCCAACAAACATTCCTGCAGCCAGCTAATGATTTTAGGGAATGACAAATTAATAAAATATTATAATTATCACCAAGCTTTCTTCGACTTACCTCTTTGTCGTTTGCTACTCTGTCAGCCTGCAACACAAGAACATCAGGTATTCAACTGTAGAAATGTACTGGCAAGAAAAGGATGCAACGTGAACACTAGGGTGTGGGGAGAGGCCTGAAATCTTTGGCACTGGAGAATGCAATAAAAACTGCTGCTGTTGCTGCTGCTACTGCTACTACTACTACTACTACCACAGGGGTAGAAATTAACTTTTGAACAAGGGAGTCCAACGAACTCCCTGCCCTCGAAAGGAGGGAGTCCGCGGCAAAATGAGGGAGTCCGCAGTCTGAAGTTCAAAATTAATGATATTAACAATAACACGTGCTTATTTTGAAGATTCATGCGGTTGCTCGTCTGCCCAATTTTCTTTGGACATTTGCTGAAAAAATATGGCAATTCCGCAAGACCGTGCTCTGGAACAAACTAGTTAGTATGGAAGAATTTTCAGGGAGTCACACAGACTCCTGCATATGTCAAATCAGGGAGTCCGGCAGTAAATCAGGGAGTATTTCACTCGAGACTCGCGTTAATTTCGCACCCTGTACTACTGCTGCTGCTGCTGCTGCTGCTGCTGCTGCTGCTGCTGCTGCTGCTGCTGCTGCTACTGCTACTACTACTACTACTACTACTACTACTACTACTACTGCAGCTGCTGCTGCTGCTACTGCTACTACTACTACTACTACTACTACTACTGCTACTACTACTACTACTACTACTACTA